TATGGACGATTTTATGCATCGGGTTTCTAAAATTTGTGAATGTTCATGGATGTGGGTAAGTTAACACTGTATAACAGTTTCATTTAAAGTGTATCATAAAGTGATATTCATTTTAAAATGAACAGTAGAAATATTGTTTGAATTAATGTATTTTACAGGGTGGCTCTACCACTGACTGGGCGTTTGAATTATTGCATTTTACAGGGTGGCTCTACCACTGACTGGCCGTTTGAATTATTGCATTTTACAGGGTGGCTCTACCACTGACTGGCCGTTTGAATTATTGTATTTTACAGGGTGGCTCTACCACTGACAGGTCGTTTGAATTATTGCATTTTACAGGGTGGCTCTACCACTGACTGGCCGTTTGAATTATTGTATTTTACAGGGTGGCTCTATCACTGACTGGTCGTTTGAATTATTGTATTTTACAGGGTGGCTCTACCACTGACTGGCCGTTTGAATTATTGTATTTTACAGGGTGGCTCTATCACTGACTGGTCGTTTGAATTATTGTATTTTACAGGGTGGCTCTACCACTGACAGGTCGTTTGAATTATTGCATTTTACAGGGTGGCTCGGGTGGCTCTACCACTGACTGCTCGTTTGAATTATTGTATTTTACAGGGTGGCTCTACCACTGACTGGCCGTTTGAATTATTGCATTTTACAGGGTGGCTCTACCACTGACTGGTCGTTTGGATTATTGTATTTTACAGGGTGGCTCTACCACTGACTGGTCGTTTGGATTATTGTATTTTACAGGGTGGCTCTACCACTGACTGGTCGTTTGGATTATTGTATTTTACAGGGTGGCTCTACCACTGACTGGTCGTTTGGATTATTGTATTTTACAGGGTGGCTCTACCACTGACTGGTCGTTTGGATTATTGTATTTTACAGGGTGGCTCTATCACTGACTGGCCGTTTGGATTATTGTATTTTACAGGGTGGCTCTACCACTGACTGGTCGTTTGGATTATTGTATTTTACAGGGTGGCTCTACCACTGACTAGTCGTTTGGATTATTGTATTTTGCAGGGTTAGTACAGTGCAATTAGCTTAAAAAAAGAGCAAACCGGGACATCAAAAAAAAAGTTTCAAACCAGTGCCATATTGTTGAATAGACTTCCCTCAATGTGTAAAAAAAAGTTACACTGATTTGAGTGTCGGGTTTGGGGGGGAGGGGGTAAAAATGGGGTTAAAATAGGACTTTTTTTACTTTTTCACAAATACCTCAAAAACGGTGCGTTTTTCTTCAAATATAATGAATTACAAAAATAATCTACATTAAATGTCGAACAAAATGATACCATACAATACCTATCTACTATGAACGGTTCAGGAGATATTGGGGGGTAAATGTGATTTTTCCTTAAAATTCGAAAAAAATTGGTTTTTAAATAGTGAAAAACCATGAACACCCATAGAAAAAGTTTCTAATGAGTGCCAAATTGTTCAATAGACCTCCCTTAATATGTGTAAAAAAGTTACACTGATTTGAGTGTCGGATTTGGGAAGAAGGGTTTATGAGAAATGAGAGGGGAATGGGGCGTCCTTTACTATTTTACAAATATCTCGAAAACGGTGCCTTTTTCTTAAAATATAATGAACTACAAAAATAATCTAAATTAAATTTAGAACAAGATGATACCTTACAATACCTATCTACCATTAACGGGTAAGGAGATATTAAAGGGTAAATGTGATTTTTTTCTTACAATTCAAAAAAGTTGTTTTTTTAGCGAATTTCCCATATAGGGAATAAGCTATTACCGTGGTACTCATGGTAAGACCTGGACCCGGGACCGATTTATTTTTTCGTTTTGAGGTCCCTAGAGGCAAAAAACACCATCCGTTCAAATTCATATATATATATATATATATATATATATACACACAATTGTTTGGATAAAGGGCTACTATTATAAATAATAAAGAAAGCATACTAACTCAGTACCCTGAAATTATTTTTATTTTTAAAACTCAAAAATGATCCGATTTTGATGAAATTTTGTACAAACGTGTAAACCTACATTTATTCGAACGAGTTCGCGAACCAGCATGATCGGACTATGGGAACAGGGGTTTATCGGGGGTTTTATGGGGTAAAGATAGGTTTTTCCCATTTTTGACCCTAAAAACACAAAATTTTACAAATTTGTCATAAGTGTTGCTAGCCTATTTCCAAGCGTACACGCTTACTAATAAAATAAAACGTGAATAATAAAAGCACGCTGTTTTGTGTTGTTTGGTTGGAATACTGGTGTGCGACAAAGGAAAAACCGTACGACAACGTAAAAACTGCGACAAAAGTAAGTATATGCAACAATTAGCAGCTTTCTGTACTATAATCTGCTAAATATAATATGTGCAAGGAAGCACACTTTGTCGGGTGACTGTAGGTAAATAACTATTGTAACACGGATATTTTTACTTAATAAATAATCAATGATAAAACACACTTATGAATCAAACGGTAGAAAGTTCACTGTGTTCACGTATCTAGGTAGATTTGTTGTTTCAGGTAGGTAAGTCATTAGTTAAATTGTCGCTATATATGTGTTAAAAAGGAAAATAAAAAGTGTTACTTAAAAAATTTACAAAATTACTTATGAATAAAATTCCCTACACCGTTTTCACACCCTCCTACCCGCAACCGGCAGGAAAATCAGTGTAACTTTTTTACACATGTTAAGGCAGGTTTACTTAGCGATTTGGCACCAATTACAAACTTTTTTAATGGGTGTCCGTGGGTTTCCTCCATTTAAAAAAGCCAATTTTTTATTGCATCAGAAAAAATCACATTTTTTTTTTTTTTTTTTATTAAAAAGAGGTTGGCAGCCTCTTTTAACCTTGCATTTGCCCGTCCACATAGACTACAGATCTGTGCGTGGAACGTATCCAGCAAAGCAAGGGGTGAGCCGGTACAGTACAAAGGTGAACTGTACTGATAAAAGTTAGTGGCAGTGACCAGGATCCGAACCCACGACACTGCTGCCATGGGCCCGAAGTCCGCGACGCTACCGACTGAGCCACCGACTCACCATTTAGTTACACCTAATTTAGTTACACGCTATTTAGCCCTCTATATCTCCTGAACCGATCATAGTAGATAGGTATTGTATGGTATCAATTTGTTCGAAATTTACGGTAAATTATTTTTGTAATTCATTGTATTTTAAGAAAAACGCACCGTTTTTGAGGTATTTGCGAAAAAGTAAAAAAAGTCCTATTTTCACCCCATTTTCATTAAACCCTACTTCCCAAATCCGACACTCAAATCAGTGTAACTTTTTTACACATATTAAGGGAGGTCTATTGAACAATTTGGCACTCATTAGAAACTTTTTCTATGGGTGTCCATGGTTTTTTACTATTTAAAAACCAAAAAAACAATTTTTTTTTATTTTAAGAAAAAATCACATTTACTCCCCAATATTTCCTGAACCGTTCATAGTAGATAGGTATGTATGGTATCATTTTGTTCGAAATTTAATGTAGATTATTTTTGTAATTCATTGTATTTTAAGAAAAACGCACTGTTTTTGAGGTATTTGCGAAAAAGTAAAAAAGTCCTATTTTCACCCCATTTTCACCCCCTCCCCTCCAAACCCGACACTCAAATCAGTGCAACTTTTTTTTACATATTTAAGGAAGTGTATTCAACAATTTGGCACTCATTAGAAACTTTTTCTCTGGGTGTCCATGGTTTTTCACCATTTAAAAACAATTTTTTTTATAATTTTAAGGATAAATCACATTTATTCCCCCATATCTCCTGAACCGTTCATAGTAGATAGGTATTGTATGGTATCATTTTGTTCGAAATTTAATGTAGGTTATTTTTGTAATTCATTGTATTTTAAGAAAAACGCACCGTTTTTGAGGTATTTGCGAATAAGTAAAAAAAAGTCCTATTTTTGCCCCATTTTCTTTAAACCCTACTTCCCAAATCAGACACTCAAATCAGTGTAACTTTTTTACACATATTAAGGGAGGTCTATTTAACAATTTGGCACTCATTAGAAACTTTTTCTATGGGTGTCCATGGTTTTTCACTATTTAAAAACCATTTTTTTTAGAAATTTAAGGAAAAATCACATTTACCCCCCAATATCTCCTGAACCGTTCATAGTAGATAGGTATTGTATGGTATCATTTTGTTCGAAATTTAATGTAGATTTTTTTTGTAATTCATTGTATTTGAAGAAAAACGCACAGTTATTGAGGTATTTGTGAAAAAGTAAAAAAAGTCATATTTTAACCCCATTTTTACCCCCTCCCCCCCAAACCCGACACTCAATTCAGTGTAACTTTTTTTTACACATTGAGGGAAGTCTATTCAACAATTTGGCGCTGGTTTGAAACTTTTTTTTTGGATGTCCCGGTTTAGGTCTAATTGCAGTGGCTCTACCACTGACTGGCCGTTTGGATTATTGTATTTTACAGGGTGGCTCTACCACTGACTGGCCGTTTGGATTATTGTATTTTACAGGGTGGCTCTACCACTGACTGGCCGTTTGGATTATTGTATTTTACAGGGTGGCTCTACCACTGACTGGCCGTTTGGATTATTGTATTTTACAGGGTGGCTTTACCACTGACTGGCCGTTTGGATTATTGTACTTTACAGGGTGGCTCTACCACTGACTGGCCGTTTGGATTATTGTATTTTACATGGCTCTACCACTAACTGGCCGTTTGGATTATTGTATTTTACAGGGTGGCTCTACCACTGACTGGCCGTTTGGATTATTGTATTTTAAAGGGTGGCTCTACCACTGACTGGCCGTTTGAATTATTGTATTTTACAGGGTGGCTCTACCACTGACTGGTCGTTTGAATTATTGCATTTTACAGGGTGGTTATACCACTGACAGGTCGTTTGAATTATTGCATTTGACAGGTTGGCTCTACCACTGACTGGTTGTTTGAATTATTGTATTTTACAGGGTGGTTCTACCACTGACTGGTCGTTTGAAATATTGCATTTTACAGGGTGGCTCTACCACTGACTGGCCGTGAAGTCCCCATGAAAAATCGCTGGAACGTAAGTATAATTACATCACAGAACTTACTTATCTGACTACATGAAACTTAACAGTTTGCAATGTATTTATTATAAAATGACTTCCTAAACAACGCATTTATACGTAATCCTAAAATCCGACGTAATTTAATCGTCAAAATTGACAGTTAGTAAATGGAAACTCAATTTCAACCAGTTGTAAAATATAATGTCAGTTACCCACAAATAAGTCCTCCAACGTAACTTTAAAATCGTTGCAAAATCTTTTTTTTTCATCTCTATATTTAAAAAAATCATAAAAAAACAACTACTCTAGTCCACACACAGAAGTATTTCTTCTTCGAGGAAGACATTTCGCTAAGACTAATTTAAAAAAACTTCTTCAGAAAATATTTGTTATAAAAAAAAAACCTAAACAATATTGTAAACACTTTTGCACATAATTAATAAGATGTAATTTGTAATTGTTATGAGAAATTAATGGCATTTTCATTTGATTTGAACAATATGCACTTGCGATTTGTTAATACTGTAGATCAATTATTTATTTGAAGTTACATCTTTTGACGTTTTGGTAAAGGATCACTATGTATTTTTAAGTTAAAAAGTCCTCTAAATTAAATTGTTTGTAAACAGTTTTTAACATGCGTATATTGTTGGATAGAAACGTGAAATGAAATGAAATGAAATGAAATGAAAATGATTTATTTAGTCAGGCAAAGTTAGGGCCACATGGTCCTCTCTTACACTTAACCTGTTTATACAAATCTAAACATACAAATAAAACAAAACAATGTACAATACAAATAAAATACTATAATCTATTTACAATATTTAAACGTGTTTAATTTTTTGATTGCTTAAGATATAAAAGTCTTTTATATCTAATTTTTCGACTCGGTTACGCTCATATTTGGTAACCGCTGAAAACGTGTCTTAGTGAAACGAAAAATGGACAGTTGAGAAATAAATCCGTGGAGTGTTCGTGTGTATTATTGAAAAATGAAGAGAGAGAAAATTATCAATACAACTAGACATTCCATCCCCATGTTAAATTTGTAGCCAGGTTTTTTTTTATCAAAATCGTCGTAGTTGATGTGAGCCACCTACAGATTGAGCTGATTTTAAATAACTAAATTCTGCCGAAAACACGCTCTTTTTAACCAAGTCAAACATAGGGAATGACTTATGATGAGTTACAGCAACTGTTATGACCAGCAACAAAAAAAGAGGCATAAAAAGAACTTTAGACACTAGTGCATTCTGTGACTGGCTCACACAACTACATTCTTTTTTAATGAAAAAATTGGCTTCAGCTGGTCCATAGATGGGATGTCTACTTCAGTATCTAATAGTCAATGGTAAAACCATCGATCTTGCTGTAGTAATAATAGAGATCGATGGGTAAAACATGTTAACAAGAAGAACAGAATCAGAATGGAACAATGTTTATTTGTTCAATATGATGAATTATTTAACAATCATCAGCTGTTGTAATTAATTCTAAACAGGCTAAAGAAAAATATTAGGTAAAAGAACTGAACAAAATCTTTCATTTATTTTTTACATACAATTAATCAGTCGATCGCAAAAATATTAATATTTAATAGAGATTCCGAAACAATGCATTGGCGTGTTCCTAAATCCCGACCTAAATTTCATCGTCGAAAATGACAGCTTGAAATTGGAAACTCAATTTCAAAACAATAGGAAACGTTATATGGTGTATTTTTAAAATTGAAAATAGAGTTGAGATAACTGTCTGGTCAACTGAACAAACTGAACCAACTGAACAAAACCGGATTTCGTGAGTAGGTATATTTGATCTGATTGATTTAGGATTAAACTGTTAAAAATACAGAGAATTAATTTTGATTTATAGGTGTTTTACCACGCGGTCATTGGAATAGGAACGCCACCTCAAGAATTGAGTGTTCACTCCTACAGGGTCAATGGATTTATTTGTCTATAAGGAGGGCTACACAAAGATACCTGGCGGTAAGCTTAACTGATCGTTCATTTGTTTGTTTATTAAGATATTTATATGATAAGTACGGGTGTGATTTTTTTTCTGAGACATGTATGTATTTCTCTGGCTTCACTTCTTGAGGAGCATCATGTTATTTTAAATGAGGATCAAAATAATTAATTTTGAAATTAAATAACTTATAAATCTGCAGATAGGTGCCGGCGTTTAAAAGGCTATATGATGTTTAAATTTGTTTTTTACAAACATTTTGGTGGATTTCCCATTTAGATAACAAGCTTTAACAAGTCTCATGGTAAGACTTAAACCCAGGGCTTATTTTTTAAAAGAGTTTTCTTACTTTTTACATTGAAATAAATGCTCATTTATTTTACAATGAAACAAAATTATTATTAACACAAAAATTATCACAATGCTTTATCCCTAAATGCAATTTTACTCAAAATGTTCACACTATTCAATTGTTGTATTGTTGTTTTAACTAGTGTACATGTTGCTCGAATTCGAGCAATTGCAAAGTATTAAAGGAGTTATTTCAAAACGAATAACAGCCATATTTACAACTAGCTGTGTGCCCGTTCTACGCACGGGGATCTTATTGTAGTCAGTTATTGAAACCTTTTTATTAAGAACAGAATTTGGTTTGCATATTTTCAGATATGCTGGCAAAACTATTATACAGTATATAAACCTTCGCAAATACAGTATCTGACAGTTTCAAGCCAAAACAAATGCTTCGAAATTAAATGTAACCTGGGTCGTGTTGGTCCATATGTTAAATCCAATGATTAAACTAAAAAATGCTTTATAGATCTATGAGGCATAGCCCTAATGTAGGCCTATAATTGAAAGTTACCTTCCACAATGGTTAAAAGTATTTAAGGTACTACTTCAACCTCCTAATTTAACACTTTATTCGTGTTGACATTTTCATTATAAAGGTACTTTTGTCCTTTCCGTGAAACACTGAGAAATAAGGACATTAATGCTTTACTAACAGACATACACACAAAAATACAGAACTTAATTAGGGGGTTTGCTACGCTTTAAGCATAACAAAGTACTTGTAAAATTAGTATCTAAAATATTTTGTTAATGTCATCAAATTTCATCATAACAATGTATATTTGCTTGGACCGATGATGACCCGAAATGACGGCTTACTATATGAAATGAAGACGACTGGTCCAGGGTGGTCCAGCCACCCTGGTATAGACGATTGGTAATTTATATGAAATATTACCAAAATAGGCCACGAACTATTGATACATAAACAACGTAAAGCGTTTAAACAATTCATTATGGTTAGCTGAATAAATGTTTTACTGAAGTGCGTTATCGTTTTCTTTGCATAAACTAACATTTTGGAATCAAGAAAGAAAAAGCAAAAATTGTACAGTTAAGACATCAATTAAATTGAATACGCCTGTAATAATAAATAAGGTGCAACACCAACGATAACTAATTTGTAAAGTACAGTGATGTGTTGGTACTTAAAAATGATTCTTGCTACTACCAACAGTACCAACGGTTCTAAGGAATAGAACCGGTACCAAAAACCAACGTTCACAGTTGAGAACTATAGTACAGTCGACCAATTATATGAGTTAATCAAGTCCCGAGGTTATTGATCTCTTGGTTTTTGATTTTCTCGTAAAACGTTTTAAAACGGCAATCAAAGTTATTTCCCAATTCTTAATTCTTCTTGGGCTTCTAAATAATAACTACACAAAGTAGATTTAAAAGATTTATTTTGATAATAAAATCAACAGACTACAGAGCACAAAGCTACATTTTGGAGATGACACGGAAGTAGTAGTGAACAAGAAGAAGTCACATAAGCTTAGCTTAGAGTAGTTTTACATAGGCCTACAGAGTAGTCTTACATAGGCCTACAATGGTAAAATATAATATATAGCTTATGTATATAACATCTCCCCCCTAAAAATAAGGATTGAGAGTTCATGAAAACAAAATTGAACACACAATATTTACAAAACAAAATTAGTCTTCAAACCTTATTGGTTTTTTAATTACTCTTCCAAACCTTGTTCGGGATTGAGATGGGTTAGGGGTTGCGACAGGAGTCAAGCTAGTTTGGTTAGGTGTTGAGGCAGGAGTTAACCTAGGTGGAACAATAGGCCTATCAGTTTCATCATACAACTGAGTCATTGGATCTTCACTTGAAACTAAAGGGAATTTGCTAAAGGATTTTCTCAAAAATACCCTATTTCTTCTTAGTTCATTACCATTACTAGACTTAACTATATAGGATCTTGGTGTCTGGTGTTTTCTTATAATTAATCCTGGTTCCCAAACCTTTCCTGATTTTACAATAACATTATCACCTTTTTGAAAGGGAGGTAACTTATGTGATCCTCTATCATAATAAGCTTTTACAACTTTTTTGTGACTTTCTAACTTTGATTTAATCTCTTTACTGTTTACACGAATAGGTTTTAACACAGAACTAGCAGTTGGTAATGTTGTTTTGACTACCCGACCTAACATTATTTGTGCAGGTGACAGTTTTGTATCTTTTAAGGGAGTATTCCTGTACAACATTAGAGCTACGTTAATGTCTTTCTTAGAGTCCTTACATTTCCTCAATATATTCTTAGCTACTGAGACAAATGTTTCAGCAAGGCCATTTGACTGAGAGTGCAAAGGACTTATAGTAGCCAGTTTAAAATTCCATTCATCTGCAAATTCTCTAAACACGACACTTCCAAAAGGCATGTTATCAGATACTAAAACATCTGGTGAGCCAAATCTAGCAAAAATCGGTTTAAGTACATCTATTAAATTTTTTGCTGTTTTACCATTTAACAAGCACAATTCAAACCATCTACTGTATGAGTCTGCAACAACCAAGTAATCATTATTACCAAATTGTAAGATATCAGCACTTATTCTTTCCCATGGCCTTGATGGAACAGGATGACTTAACATAGGTTCCTTAACATTACTTCTCCTAAACTTTTCACAAGTTTGACACTTTAGAACAAAATCCTCTATATCTGTAGACATATTAGGCCAGTACAACCCTTGTCTGGCAAGAATTTTACACTTTTCTACACCTAGGTGGCTTTCATGGATTTTCTTCAACATACTCAATCTAAGTTTAGTTGGCACTATTACTTTGTCATTAAGAAACAATAAACCACCTTCATAGTTAATATCATGTTTAAGATTGAAATAAAACTGTACATTTTTAGGACACGCATTTTTGAACTTGGGCCAACCTAAGTGATATTTTTTTAACATAGTCATAGTTTCATCTTCATCAATGGCTTTAATAAATTCTTGTTTCCTTTGTTCAGACATAGCCACATATTTACTAATAGTATGTACAACAAAAGAAAATTCTGGATCATCAGTAACAGGGTCTTTCAAATAAGACCGAGACAATGTATCGGCCATAAACATCAATTTACCAGGTACATACACGAGTTTAAACTGATACTTCAAAAGTCTTAACAATAAACGTTGTAACCTAGCTGACACTTTACAAAGATCTTTTTCAACTATAGAAACTAATGGTTTGTGATCAGTCTGTACGGTAACTAGCCTACCATACGTTAACTGATGAAAACGTTCAAAGCCAAAGACAATAGCAAGTAACTCTTTCTCGATTTGAGCATAACGGGTCTCTGTATCAGTCAATGATCTTGATGCAAAGCCTATAGGGTGACCATTTTGAAGCAAGCATGCTCCGAGGCCATCTTTTGATGCGTCAACCTGAAGGGTTACTGGTTTAGAACTATTAAAAATAGCTAATGCTGGGGCAGAGACTAACTTACTCTTTAACTCACAAAATGATTTCTCATGTTCTGGGTACCATTGCCAATCAGTATCATTTTTAGTTAAGTTGCGCAAAGGTGCTGACAAAGTCGATAGGTTAGGAATATACTGTGACAAATACTTAGTCATACCTAAAAATCTTAACAATTCTTTCTTGTTTTGGGGTCTTTCCATTTCGACAATAGCTCTCACATGTTCTGGATTAGGCCTAATGCCATCACTTGAGACTAATTGACCTAAGAACTTAACCTCAGGGACTTTGTACTGGAACTTAGACAGATTAAACTTAACATTTTTTTCCCTAGCTCGGTCAAGTACTTTTTTCAAGATCATGTCATGTTCATTTTCATCTTTAGCAAAAATAATAAGATCATCAAAATATATTTCACATCCTGAAATATCCCCAAATATTTCTTTACAATGCTTTTGAAAGATCTCTGGTGCTGAGCACAGGCCATAAGGCAAAACATTAAAATAATACCTACCAAAAGGAGTATGGAAGGTAGTTAACAATGCACTACTTTCACTTAGCCTAAGATGCCAAAATCCTTCTTTCATGTCTAACACTGAAAAAACTTTTTTACCATGTAGCCTACTTAAAATTTCATCAGATTTGGGAATCAGATAGTGCTCTCTTTTGATATTTTTGTTCATTTCCCTAGGGTCAAGACATAGACGCAAATTACCATTAGGCTTTTCAACAATCACAAGATTTTGAACCCATTCAGTTGGTTCTGAAACTTTAGAGACTATACCCTGCTTATCTAGCCTATCCAAAGTGCTTTTTAACTTTTCATTTAAACTTAAAGGTATGCGCCTAGGTGGAAAGATTCTCGGTTCAGCATTTGGCTTTAGTTTGATTTCAACTTTGCCTGGAAATTTTCCTAGACCTTCAAATACATCATGGTACTGATTTGCAATTTTATCTTTAGGATTTACAAAAATACTATTTTCATTTACAACAGGCTTACAACTAATAGGCACTCTTTCAATTAACTTCAGTTTTACACAGGTTTCAAGTCCTAGTAAAGGAACAGAATTGACATCAACTACTACAAATTCAACATTACTGACTTTGTTCGCATTACGAGAGGAACAGTTAAGTAGTACTTTACCAATAGGTTTAACTTGAGAGTTTTGACCAAACCCTACCAATACAGTTGGTGTACTCAGCAATTTAGGCTTATAGAGCAAACTATTAAAAGTT